AAGATCTCCACAGGGCCTTCCAAACCAAAGATTTCAGACCAGGATAAGAGTTGTAGGAATGGAAAAGGATAGATATGGAACCCTCAGGGAAGAACTAGTAAGATTTAAGAATTGGCTACATATGCAGAATGACAGAAAACAATGAGTCAACTCTGAACACAAAGTTTTAAGCTTCGGAGGACTGAAGATTTATATAAAGGCTGGGGATGTAGCTCAGCGGTACAACGCCTGCCTGGCAAGCGCGAGGTCCTGAGTTCAATTCCCAGTTCCCAAAAAAACCCACAAAGATTTATATAAAAAGAGCATCTTGACCCAATAGATATTTATTCTTTTAATAAATGTGTAGGTTCTCCTTGCAAATTAATATTCACGACCTTCTAGATCAAAATGTCAACCAGTGCATTTTAAATGTATCCTAACACCCAAATGTTTTCTCACAAGATTACTTTAATGCTATGTTAAAATGAAATCTCTCTAGATAATTAGTATTACAGATACACATATTTAGTATAGTTTAAAATATTCATCCCAAAGCATCAAATTTATAGGAAAAAAACAATATATTCATAAGTCACCAAGAGACCAATCTCTTGAACAACTCTTGCAATGTGGAAAAAATCTAACTCCAGATTCACACAACTGCCTACAGATGTCACAGCAGAACTTGCTGATAAAACATCTTAACCTGTTTTCTCTTAGAAAATGACTTCAGGGAGTTGGGGACGTAGCTCAGTGGGGAATGCTTGCCCAGTATATACAAAAGGTCCTGGTTTAATCCCTACTACAGGGTAAAAAAGTAGAAAAAGAAAATGACTTCATACGTTCATCTCCAATAGCTGAACTCCCAGTATTCCATCTCATGCACTATAATGGAACACATCTTCAGTATCAGACCAGACAATAAATTCAGAATCAGATCAGGCTACCCATAAGTAATGTCTAGATAACTGTGTTTGCATGTAGTGTGACATCTTTATCAGACTGCGCTGAGGGACATATTTTTCAAGATTCTAACCTGCTCTTTTCACAGATGAGACTGACCCTGCAGTTATGCTGACATCCCTATATGCTCCATTTCAACGTGTTATACTGATGTTAACATTCCTGGACAAAAGAAAAGATCATAGTTGCTCATAAACTCCTCTACTTACAGACTAAAAAAAATCCTGCCAACTTTCTGATGATCCTTCAAGGGCAACAGTTCAAACACAATAGCCTTTCTTGGACACTGAACAGTATTTCAATTAGAACTGACTGGTCAACATTTGGGTCAAATTCCAGAACAAAACACTTTAAAAAATACAACTGATTATGAAATATTACAGCTTAATGCTATCTGCAGACTTATTTAGACACAGACAACATGTCTAATTATGTCTACTCACCAATTTATGACTAGATAAAATGAAAAACGTTGTTGACTGGTCTAGAACAGCAATATAAAAACTTAGTTGCAGGCAAAGCAAACAATATGCTGAAATATACTGTCGAGAAGTACTGAGGCCACCTGGGAAATGAGTCACTTAGAGTCGTATTTTCCAGACATCTAAATTAACCTTTTTCATTTTAGAGCTGCATTTTAACTCTTAGAACAGAATTCTCCCTAAAATATAACATTTGATTCCTAACTTTTAAAAAGGCACATGAGCTGGGTGTGGTGGTGCACTCCTATAATCCCAGCACTCCGGAGGCTGAGGCAGGAGGATCACTGTGACTCTGAGGCCAACCTGAGCTACAGAGTGAGTTCAAGGCCACCCTGGACTACATGGTGAGACCCTGTCTCAAAAAAAAAACCAAAAAAATAAAAAGATACATGAGGATGATATTTTTCTTTTCTTTCCTTACTATGTAAGGGTCACTGTTATGAAGATTAGCTACGAAGATAAGGCTAAGTGCAGATTTATGTTACATGGATAACGTGGAAAGGGAAGAAATGTAACTTTATAGGGCTTGCATCAAATTTGAGTTCCTTTAAAACATGCCAAGGGAAAGCTTGCTTTCTGTTCAAAAACTAATTTTTGGTAAAAAGTATAATGAATCATAGGTAACTGTATAATATCCTATGTAGTATAAAGTAACTACTACTAGTTTTGAGGGAGGGAAGCGGGCATTGAACCCAAGGCCTTGCACTGAGCTACATCCCCAGTCTATTTTTATTTTTTAATTTGAGACAGGGTCTCATTACATTGCTAAGTTGTCTGGTCTGTGCTTGAACTTGTGACCTTGCTTACTCTACCCCGCCAGAGTGCTAGAATTACAGGTATGCGTCAGCATACCCAGCAAAGTAACTACTTGTTTATAAAATTAAACAATGGACTGCCAGGCATGGTGGCACACACCTATAATCCCAGCACTTGGGAGGCTGAGGCAGGAGGGTGGCTGTGAATTCGAAGCCAGCCTGGGCTCCAAAGTGAGTTTGAGGCCAGCCTGAACTGCATAGTGAAACCCTGTCTCAAAAAGAAAAAAAAAATGGACTGGGTCCTTACGGTATCTTCTTCCAAATACTTTTCTTGTCCTCTGAAAAATCAACTTTGTTTCTATTATTCCCAGTGATATTCAGCTTATCCCTGGCTTTCAAAACTTGACCCAGTGCCATGAACTAGAAGCTTGGCCCCTTGTACTGTTTGTTTATACAGAATCTCGGTTCACTTTAGAAACAAGTAATAGCACGAACGGGGGAAACAGTGAGCACAGTTTTCATTGTACTACAAACGGAAAGAAGACAGTCACACGTCTGTTAAGTGGGGCACCACGGACCAATATTCTCCAGGACTTACTTCCCCTTGCACGATGCAGAGAACGCCACACCTAAGCAACACTTTAGAGAAGCTTCAAAGGCCCGTCTAGGATCTGCACAGAATCCATTTTCCCTTAACTCCACTTTCTGAAAAACCCCTGTTCAGAAATTAATTCGGACAGAAATCGCTTAAGATGGAGGACAAATATTCCCAGAGACCAACAGTGCTTTTTTAGAAGGAATTTTATAACTTTTCCCTCAGTTACATAAACTAAAGGCTCAACAGATGTTAGCTGTTATTACTTAACAAATATATAATAAACATTTACTCTTTTTCTAGACACTGTTCCAAGTGGAAACAAATTTTTACAACTCCACTGTCAAGAAACTCCCAACCTAGTGTGGGCGTGTTCGTGGCACTAGACATGGCTCTGCTGGCTACCTCCGCTCATGAAACTATAGCCCAAAAGCATTAAGCCGAGATGTTACTGAAAAAAGAGAAAAGAAATTATTTCTCGGTCTCTTATTTAAGAAATGATATTATTAAAAAAGAATAAATCTCCTTCTTTTCTTTCTTGAGACTAGGACTCACTATAGGGCCCTATCACTCAGGCCCCAGTGATCCACCTGCCAAGTAGCCTAGGACCTATAGACTCATGCCACACTTGGCCTTGGATTTAATGGAACTACTTTGCTATCTTCAATCAGGCAGAATAATTTTTAATATATACAATGTTTCAGCTCTGGTGGTTTATAATTTCCTGTTTGTCCCATAGCTTTATATTGTCTAAAATCTTTAAAGAATATAAAGATCTGGCACAAACAACAAAATGAATCAATGATTATACTGGTTTAATATTTTCCTTACTTTATTTTTGAATCTTGTGTTGATGTTCATCTAAGATTAGCATATGTCTATGCATTTCTGTCCTAGAATAAAATAAAAATCGCGAAAATAATTTCATCCAATCATAGAACTTAGTCATGTTATTGTATAAGCTACAGTGCTTGCTCTGTGTTCTGGCCTAACTTGTTATTAGACAGATAAACCCTTGGAGGAAACAGAATCCAGTAAGTCCAGGAGCTTCCTGCAATTACACGCGCACACAGTTGACTTACTTTATGCCTTCATGAACCTGCTACCCCCAAGTACAGATCGCTCTTTTCCAGAGTGACACTAGCCATTCTCACCACCCCTTAAACGCATGCGCACGTGCATCTGCATTCCTTAGATACGCTTGGGTGTGAAAAGAGTACACACTTTGGAACTGTACATAGCTACAGTCAAATCTCATCTCTGCAACTCAAAAACTCATTACCAAATGCAAGTTGATTTTTGTTCAAGTATTACTTCACTACAAGAGTATTGTTTTTGTTTTTATTTAATTTGCCCAAGAAAACTGATTCTAAAAGTCCAGAGACACTGGAAACCAAGTATAACTCAACCTTCTTTAGTGCTTTCATAGGAAACATAGGTACCTGCGAAAAAGGCAGCAGGAAGCAGACATACATGTTTAGTTTATAATTATTTGGTAAATTTCCAATTCACATTTTAGGAACTTTTCTGTTTAACACTATACATTACCAAAGAAATATGGAACTGCCAACCCACTGTCATCTTCAGTAAAATATATTTTCTATCAAATTTAAAAAACAAAGACCTTCTTATAAACAGAACACAAGATAAATAACTTCCCGTTCTACACATAATCTAGCACAATTCACTGCAGCTCAAGGTAGTTAAATCTTTTTTTTTGAGACAGGATCTCACTATGTAGTGCAGGCTGGCCATGAATTCATTTATATAGTCCAGGTGGCCTCAAACTCATGGCAATCTTCATGCCTCAGCCTCCCAAGTGCTGGGATTACAGGCATGTGCCACCACACCCAGCAATCAGGTCTTTTATTTAAAAAAAAGGGAAGTTTATATGTATTTTTGATGAAATTCCTTAGTTAAAAAATTGAAAAAATATTAATATACCTTTAAGAAGTTTGTGATAAAATCATAATGACCTCCAGAAAGCAAATCACTTTGGTAAGTAGGTAATATAAAAGACACTGTGTCTTTTAAACCACAAAAGGAATTCTATACTCTGTCACCTAATAATTGTGATATTTTACAACCATAAAAAAAGAAAAAGAAACAACTTCAAACAAAAAGTCATTATTACTTGTCGAAGAATACACTAAAAAGAATATCTCAGCCAAGAAACTAGAAGGAAGCTAGCTACATGTGCATATTAAACAAAAATCTGCTGCATACCTTGATCAATGCAGTTTTCTGCGAGAGCAAAAAGCTGAGGCGAGCGTTCCTCAAGCAGCTGCTGGTGAATATTCATACATCTCAAAGTCCACCATGGCAAGCTCTGGAAAACAAGCCAGAGGTAAGCTGAAAGAAAACAACACTTTGGCAAAAGTGTTTTCAATTAACTGAAACTAATTTTTACAATTTGGACTTTACATTCATGAAACTGATGCCTCAATAAGCTAATTCACCCACTGCTATGTTTTCAGTAATACCAAACCCGCCTCCATGTCTTCCGCAGCCCTTCATTTCTGGTTTGGCCGCTTGGCCTTTACAATGTCATTCTGGACTTACCATCTCCTTGAAAACATTCATAGTCCTCATTTTGCTCTGCTCTGACACTCCATCATCGTCATGACCCAAGCAGCAACTCTGAGAGGAGGTCTCTCAGAACAACGTCCAGGGGAGGGCGCGTCATTAGTCACAACTGCCAGCATACGATATGCACTGAACACGTTCTACTGTGTTCATGTAATTCATCCCTAGGCTTCAATGCTGCTCACAATCCATCCAGTAAAACGAGAAATCCAATCTTATCCACCTCGGTATCCTCCTCAAAGCAAAGTTAAGTAAGAAATACCTTGGATTTAGATATTACCCCAAAACTAGGAAGATGCCATCCACACCTTTGTGACATTTCTTCTGTGAAACCATCTCCTCCTACTGGACATACACTGACGGTTCACTTCTCTCAACTTCTGCCCAGTTCCTACAAGGTAGCACCACGGGACAGCACTAATTTTCCAACTGTGTATCTCTATCTGCACCATACATTTTCGAGGACAGCAACTGCATACACTGACTTGACTGATGCACAGAGTATATCGTAGTTTTTGCTTTTACTCTCTAATGCTTCTTGATAAATATATCCTTATTAGGAAAAAAGAGGCCTGGCGTGGTTGCCCACACTTGGAATCCCAGCAGTCAAGAGGCAGTAGGATCACCTCAAGTTCAAGGCCAGCCTGGGCTACACAGTGAGTTCAAGGCCGGCCTGAACTATACCGTGAGACCCTGTCTCAAAAAACCAAAACAAAAAAAGACCAAGAAACAATAGCAAGCCAGTATAAACTCATATACAGGGAAGAGTCATCTCTCTTCCACCATCCCTATGCTATACTCCTCCCCTAGAAAAAGTCATGATAGTTTTATATTCTTCTGAATCTTTTTCTACGTGTGCACGTCTCTACTGTATATGCATGTGCAAGTAATAACAGCTTTGACAGACTCATTAAAATATCAATATGAACATGTACTGAATTATTTTAAGTAAGAATAATTGTTACTTTGAATTATATTACATGAAGGTGTAAGAAATCCGTTTTTCTTTTTCAACAATACTACCTACTAACAGGAGATCAAGCCCAGCTAACAAAGGCAGTTTTTTATATCATTTCCCATTTGATTCAGGGTCCTCCTCTAAACCGCCACAAACCACTGCTGCTACAACAATGACACAACCACACATGAATTTTGACACAATCCTTTCTAATTATTAATGCTGTTTCTTCAACACATTTGAGGAAAGGTAGAATTTAAGTTTCAAATCATTTCAAATTTAATCTCCTGAGGTGTTACCTCATTTCCCTTCTTTTCCTGTCGCTAAGGCTTACGAAGTCAGTCTGCATTTCAGTTATCTGTCTTTATCTGCTGACAGCAGTAAGCGAGTCAGGTTTGGCAACTTATTCTCTTCTTTTCTAGACATGGGAATTTAGATGCATCTAGTTAAAAAGATTTCTCTTTACGAAAACATACTGCAGAAGCTGCTGAACTCTTAAAAATAAGGTCTACACATTTTAATTCCTAAATCAAAATGCTTATATGGGGGAGGAAAGTGTGAAACAAAAATAAAAAGTATAGTGTATTCTTATACTAGAAAATAGAAGGGTCTTTTCTTATTTGCCAACAACTGACTAAAAGAAAAACTACGGCACTAATAAAAGTTGAAACAATACTTTATGGACAATT